ACTTGTGCTTCTCTCTCTCTTTCTCTCTCATGCGGATTTGCCCCCTTGCAGGCCTCCTGATTGGCCCTGTGCCCAGGCGCCCCACCCTCTGGGAGAAGCGCGGCCAGGAAGTCCCTTTCCCTGGCTGGCCCCGTCCGAGGTACACGTGGTCGGGGAACCGCACGGGGAAGCCTGGAATCCCCGCTGGGAGCAGCCTGCCAGAGCCTCTGCTGAGCAGGCCAGCCTTCCCGCAAGCCACAGCCATGAGAGAGAGCAGCCCCTGCGATCTGCAGCTGCGGGACCATTGGCCCAGCTGGCTGGGAAGGCACGCCGGAGTCCCGGCTGCTTTGTCAGCGAAGAATGTGAGGTGAGCAGAAGATGGGGGGGAGAAAGGGAAGGAGAGGAAAGAGAGAGGGAGAAGGGAAAGAGAAAAAGAGAGAGAGAGAAAGAGAGAGGAAGCGCAAGTGCCTCTCTCTCCCTCTCTCTTTCTCTCCTCACCTGGAGAAAGAAGGGGGAGGGAGGGAGAGGAAAGATTTGACCACCCACCCAGTCTGCTCTAAAGGCACAGTGAAAACACAGCCAGCACTCCCCCAGAAAATCTCTCATTTTCACTCATTTCAAGCTAGCAGTTGTGGTTCTACGTAGCTTGACTACCCTGTGATATATAGATTAAAATGTAATTATTAAAAGTCTCTGAATATTCAAACCTTGCCCAGCCCTCACATCCACAAAATTATTAACTTTATTCTGGGGGAGAGAAATGAAAGTTTATATAAATTCATTTCACATTTTAAGAGGTCTGCAGTATTGCAAAGTTGTGATTGAGAGGTTATGTTGGGGGAGGGGGGCGATGACAACTTCCTCATTGGCTCAAGGGGGCGATTCATTCAAAAAGGTTAAGAACCACTGGTGTAGCCTACAACCCTGTGGAAACCTTATGGAAATATTAACTAGACTTTACCCTACTTAGCTTCTCCAAGATGTTTTCTAGTGCCACACATGAACACAAAACAAGTAGTGACAAATTCTGCTTTGCTGAAGGCAATGGGAATGAGGAAGAGTGCTTTTATCTGACAATGCTCACAAAAATCAACCTATAATGGCAGGATTACTTGTAGGAACTGGGATTATAGTTTATCCTCTTAGAAATTCAAAATTAATGCAATCATCTATAGCTGAGGTTATGTGGTGGGATTGGGTGAAATGACCAAGCCTCCCTCACAACCTTTAAAGCCATTCTGTCCTTAATCCATATAGCTGCAATTGGGATTCAATCATTTTCATGCCAATAATGCATTGGAAGATCTGTTTAAAAGCTCACTTCTGTCCCAGCCTCTCAGGACCTTAAACAGATTGTTTTTGTGATTTCCTAGTCTCACATCTCCTGTGTGCATATTCTGCTTCTTCTTCAGTTACAGAAGCTGGGCAGTCCCCAGCACTCAGCATTAAAAACTGTGGCTAATTTGGATTAGAATGCTAATTAGAACTGAATGGACCGCGTAGAGAGCACTTAGTCAGGGTTAATTAGTGGTTAAGTGGCCAGCCAAGCTCCCTTTGGCTGCTGTGTTTACTTCACTGGCAGGAGTTTCACCAGCCAGCTGAGTTTTCATGAGGTCTTCCAGGGCAAGTGCTCAGCAGACTTTCACCAGTGGTTGCCCTTCAGTTCTAACCAATAAATTACTTTAAGCTGATCCTTCACATCCAGCCCAGAGCAGAGCTGAATGAGCATGCACTGCATGCCCATTTTATTGAGTTTAAAACTAAGCCCTGTTCTATCTTGAGAGAAATGGAAGTGGAATAAAATGAAGGAGGCCAAAAGCAGGCCAAAGAAAGAGGAAAGGTGTACACATCTGCTCAACAACCCAAAAAGATCTTGACACTCATAGACACACAATCTAATGCAGGAAATGTGATATGCATAGAAGCTTGAGACCAGGAAAAAAAAAATACTAACCTCACTTTCAGTCTTGACACCAGTTTTTTTAACACTTCACATTTGTTTTGCTTTGTACATTTCTTTTTTAAAGTTCTGATCCTTTTATTCAGGGCTGTTCTGTTATTGGGTTATCTTTCTTTATGTGTTCCATATAAGATCAATTTCCATCTCTTTCCACTGCCTTATTTTTGAGTATCAAGTTAGATTTTTCATCCAGTCCTGGATTGATGGGGTATAGCGAATGTAAAGACATTTGCCAGCCATTATTTCCCCTTTCAGATTATGACACCTTAGGCCATTGGGTTTATTTCTTCAAGTATTTTTGTGCCAACTTCCTGAGAATTATGGAGGTATTATCTGAGAATTCCGAAAAAATAATATCTATATTAAAGCTTTTTTTTAAGGAAAATGCTGAAACAATACTTTTAAAAGACACACTTTCTGGAGTCAGTGGAACCAATCACAGCCTCAAAAGTGCATTTTTGTAGTTATCAGAGAAAGCTATTTCTGGTTTAGCAGAAAAGTAAGTCTGTAAAAAGGTATTCCCTTTCTCCTGCAGATTTTAATAATGTGGCAAGTTCAGAACAGAACAGAACAGAATGACAGGTTCATACAAAATAGGAAGCCCTTTAGACAGATAAAATCTTGAATACCAATTGGCTAGCAACATAGGGTTTTAAAATTAGATTGGCATTATTACATTTGTAACATTTGTAACATTTAAAATTCTGGATTGCCTTCAAGAATAACAGTCCATAAAATATGTTGCAATAGCATAGATGTGATATATAAAAGGAGCATGGATAATCATTGCAAAATTATATTGACTGTAGCTAGTAGACCACAACCTACTCCTTGGTAAGCTAGAAAAAGGTGGAATAGACAACATCATCACCAAATGGATCGGTAGCTGGTTGTCAAACCGAACTCAACAAGTAGTCCTCAACGGCACTACATCCACATGGAGAGAAGTAAGCAGTGGGGTACCACAAGGTTCCGTCCTAGGCCCAGTACTCTTCAATATCTTCATCAATGACTTAGATGAGGGAATTGAAGGGGAACTCATCAAATTTGCAGATGGCACCAAACTGGCAGGAGTAGCCAACACCCCAGAAGACCAACTAAGGATCCAAAAAGATCTTGACAAACTTGAACAATGGGCCATATCCAACAAAATTGAGTTTCAATGTGGAGAAAAGTGAAGTTTTACATTTAGGCAGGAAAAATCAAAGATACAAGTACAGACTGGGCAAGACCTGGCTTAAAAACAGTAACTGTGAGAGGGACCTTGGATTCCTAGTGGACTATCACTTAACCATGAGCCAGCAGTGTGCAGCAGCAGCCAAAAAAGCTAATACAATCCTGGGTTGTATAAACAGAGGCATAGAATCAAGATCACACGAGGTATTAGAACCACTTTATAAAACCCTAGGAAGACCATACCTGGAATACTGCAGCCAGTTTTGGTCACCATATCACAAAAAAGATGTTGAGAGTTTGGAAAAAATTCAGAGAAGAGCAACTAAGATGATCCAAGGCCTGGAGACTAAAACATATGAAGAACAGCTGCAGGACTTGGGTTTGGCTAGTCTAAAGAAAAGAAGAAATAGGGGAGACATGATAGCAGTATTCCAGTATTTGAGGGGCTGCCATAAAGAAGAGGGGGTCACGTTATTCACCAAAGCAGGGGTCCCCAATCCCTGGTCCATGGACTGGTACCAGGCCACAGCATGCCAGCAACCAGTCCGCACAAACAAACAAAACTCCATCCATGGGATACAGGCAGCACACAAGCCCACACACTCTCGGGTCCACGGAAAAACTTTCCACAGAACCGGTCCTGGTGCCCAAAAGGCTGGACTAGAAGACCGCCAGCTTCTATTCTATTCTATTCTATTCTATTCTATTCTATTCTATTCTATTCTATTCTATTCTATTCTATTCTATTCTATTCTAGTATGCTAAGTGTGGTTATGCAAATGCCTGTAAATCATCATCCCAACCAAGTTCAGAAATTGTCAGTAAAATAATATGATTAATTCATAAATTAATAGTCTATAAAATAGCTAAACAAGGAACTTAAAATAGTAGCTTGGGACTACAGCAAAAGATGTAAAGACCAACTTCATTTGCTCCTTCAAGCTATACTTCATATCCTGACTTTCTCCTTCATATCAGTGGAGTTCAACATTATCCCAAAGCTGATCACAGTTTCATCAGGTGTTTTTTTTCCTTTTGATTTTGCTCAGCATGTCGACTTTCCCCCGGTTTTGTGTAAGGTGATCCAGCCCTTTTGAGTCCCTTCTATGATCATAATTCATAAACAGTGAGTGGTCAATGAATATTCAAAATTGGATTAGATAACACCAAACATTGAGGAGCTGGACTTCAAACATAGGTATGCGTGCTTCCCCATAATCTGAGCTGTTAAAAAGCTGGAGTGTGTGTAATATTCTTGGCTTTAGGAAGCCAAAGCTATTGAAAACAAGTTAATGAATAAACATGCCTATATGATCATCCTTACATCTGTAATTAGTTTGCTAAGTTCATTTATAGATTCACTATGGAAGATTTACAGAGGAGCCAAACGTGAGAATGCTGGCAACAAGGCGTGTATGCTGATCCTTGCTTTTTTATTCGTTGCGGGTGAAGATTGAATAGAATATTTTTGTGCATGGGCAGCAGCAGCATTTTAAAGTACTTGGAAAGTCATTGGGGAAATGTTAAAAAATATCATAACAACTCCACATGTTGTCTAGATCCATCCATCACAAAAATATGATCACAGTGTGCTTTGTTAACTCATCTATAAACAGGCAGGACATTTTTCAATGTATAGATTTTTACGCTCTCCCATATTTATTTAAAAGCTGAAGAAAAAGGCAGGGCTGTTAATTAGTTTTTGCAACTTCTTCCTAGCTTCAGTTAGTGGATGGGAGATGCAACTTGTTCCATGAATTAGTGTTATTCTCTCAGTGTAGAAGTATCATTATTACAAGGAAGTTATTTTTTTGTCTCCTGTATACTCCACCAGACAAGATCATGTTGGAATGATCTACTTATTAGGCACCTTACCTGCCTACAGGTAACACCTGTCACTTTGAAGATGAGAAGATCTGTGGTTATATTCAGGACACAACAGACAACTTTGATTGGATTCGTCAAAGCAGTCTAACCCATGATCCGAAGCGCACTGCCAACACAGGCCCCACCATGGATTTCAGTGGGACCCCCGAAGGTGAGCAAGCCACCAGTTTCCTGATTCAAAGTTACGGCCCTTGCTTTTCCTATTCCTGCCTTCTCTCCGATGACACTTTTAACAAAGGAAAGAGGAAGTTCCCACTTCTTAAGTACTTACAAAATGGTATTTGTCATTAGTTTTATGTAAATGTCCATCTGCTATCTTTCTACTTATTTTGAATCTATACCCCCAAAATGTCTGTCTAGCACACAACAAACTTCTGTCTCTTGTATCCTTGCTGAAAGCTGGAATTAGCAATTTTTGTTGGGAATGAAACCTTTCAGTTCAATTCTTAGTTTTTCCCATCACCCACCAGTTTGCCCCTTCCTTCTTCCTATCTGAAAGCTTCAATCTTTAATTTTCATAGTTTGCAATATTGAGAATTTGCAGAAGATAGACAGAACTTCTGCCCCTAGATTTTTCCAGATCTTTTCTAAGAATAAATTGTTTACTATATTATGTTATATTATTTACTACATTATGCTTCATCTTAAGATATGATAACGAAATATATAAATATAATAAAATATATAAAACATAGCTTCATGTACACACTCAGGTGCATGCGCATGCACACAGACTGTCTTGATCTGTATTGGACATGAGGAACAGGCAGCTAATTTGCATGTTCTTATTCACATTAAATAACCAATTAAAACTCCCACAGCTTTGTTTAGAGGAATCAGGAGAACATTAGTCCTTGTTACTGGCTAATTACTGCTGCCAAATGTCCTTGTTCCACTGATGCATACACAGAGGAAAGAAGCAAGTCGGGATTGGGAAAACAAGTTTAAACATTCTAAAATGTCTGTCTGACTTCTGGAGCAGGAGTCCAATGAAGCCTCCAGAACCTTGTGCTTTTCCACGCAACTTCTCAGAAAAGGTTATGATATAAATCATGATGCAAAGTTGATTTTGGAAGCTCAGGCTAATCAACCTATCCCTTTACCTCATATCCAGAGCCCTTTTCTGTCTATGTTTCATAGTGATTACAATACATATAAGCATATATAAGATTTATGGTAGGGAGGCAGTCTTTCTATGAAAGCTTGGCTAGTACAAATTAGCATACAGTACTGTTTCCCAAGAAACATCAAATATCTCAGAACAGCCTGAAAAAATATTGAGATAATAGAAGATAGTAGGATTAGAACAAAGAGTAATAGTGTAGAAGAAAGGAACTAATATGTGGAGCCCAGTTTCAAGTCCATCTTCTGCCATAAAAGCTCACTGGATGATTTGGATCAGTAAGTCCTGCTTACATTCCACATAAACCAGCTGACATCCTGGAGAAAAGGTAGATATAAACAAGTAAATTAGGTGACCTAAGTCCAAATTCTGTCACTTTCAGAGAAAAGATGAAGCTGAGGCCCCAAATTCCACTTTAGTGCCCCCAAAAGGGTCTGAGTCAAATCCTTGCTTTTCTTCATACTACCGGTACTTTTAATACTGTTGACATGAAAAGGACTGTGGCAATGTGTTACCTTTCCTAATCTTGGTTTCTCACTCCCTAGGGTACTACATGTTCATTGAAGCTTCTGCACCCCGAGTGAAGGATGACAAAGCTAGATTAATCAGCCCTATGTACAACATGACTGCCAGATTCTGTGTCTCCTTCTATTATCACATGTATGGAAAGCACATTGGTAAGTAACCTTGAAGGACTGCTGCTCATTGGGATGAAGAAAAAACACTCTGAGATTTAAAAGGATTGCCTTTTCATTGCAAATTACAGGGAAATAATGCTCTCAAGTGTACAATATGCCAGGTTTGTTTTACAGGGGTGATTGTCAATTTGGATTGTTGTTTTATTTCTTGGCACTGGAGTTGTGTTCAGGCAAATAATACTTTTTGGTTTTTCTATTTGGAAAGCAACACCAAAGTTGAATCCTGAAGACAACATCTCCATCTCTCTCATGATCTGTGTTTATGTTTCTTTCATCTCTGTTTTTCATCATTTCAAGCTCTAGTGCAGAGCTGAAATGATGGAATATGTTGTATGGAAAGACAAATTACAGATAGCTGTGTCAGTCTGATACAGAACACCAGCACTTGTATAAATTGCATCCATTTTGTAAGTCTTTAGAATAGACTTCGTCTATCTGATACTGGCCAGATGTTGAACTAAAACTCCACCAGCGGCCATTGTGCTGAAAATTCTGGAGGTTGTGATACAACATATGAGATTTGGAAGGCAGCTTTAGAAGAACATCCACACTATTTTTCAGATAGATTTATTTCTGTACCATAAGAGATAGAAACTCGATATTGGTGTTTTCAGACTTACAAAGATTGGGAGACTTTTACATGTGTATGTTATTAGAGGCATGGTTATGGCCAGTGGTGGGATTCAGCCGATTCATACCAATTCAGCAGAACGGTAGCTATTTTTTGTTGCCCAGGCCCAGAATGGACTCCCGGAAGCAGCATCCACACAGAGAACCGGTTGTTCACATATTTGTATCCCACCACTGGTTATAGCCAACTTAATTTGTTTTATCCTCTGCTTCCCATAGCTGTGATACAGCTTCATCATTTTTGCATTTCTGATTCCAGCTTCTGTAAGAATCCTCTTAAGAAGATATTTTCTTATATTAATTGAAAGATTACATTGGATTGGATTGGGTTGGGTTGGGTTGGGGACAGTAATTGTTTATTAGGCTATTTGGGGTCTAGTTTGGAAAGAGTGTAAATAGACTCCTTGGGTGGGACAATCCAGATAGCGGTAGTGATTTTCTGGTAACCACTGTGCTTTAAAGAGAGTAAACAAAATCCGAAAATGGCAAAAATCATGTGCAAATAAGGATTTGTTTTATGAGGCAAAATCATTTCAAAGGATATCTCGCTCCCTCCCTCTTCACCTCCTGTCTATGATTGTTAAGATGAAACTGTACATGGGTAAATGCCACAAATGTGCCTAATGAGTTTTTATAGTCAGTCAAGGAGCAATTGCTAATTTGTCACATCTTGATTATAATTTCATTAATTTGAATAATAAATGCACTCTTTAAAAAGCCACTAAGTTATTAATCACCTGCTGGACTGAGAAATCAGGGCCCAGTAAGTAGTATGTCTACCTATTGATAAACAAGGTTGGTAAACAGAGTTAATGTACATCTTCCTCTATCTAAGCACATGAGATATCACAAGCAGAAGTTAGTTTTCTGCGCTTTTGTTCTTACAGACAGAAAAAAGAGAATCTCTGAGTTAGACTATGATTCTTTGAAATATGAATACCCATGTCTGCCTCATTGAAAGCTAGCCAGGCGTGGCAGGCAGAAGTCTTGTTCCACATTAGTTCAAGAATGCCTTTAAGATGTCTGACACAGGCCTGAGGCAGAACTGTTTTATTTTCCTACTGTCTGGTAAATTTGGGGCATTTGTTGGTTAACTGATAAATTTTACCATTAAGTGTCTGACGTTAATCTGAGAAAGAATTTTTACTTCAAGTACTGGAACTATAGAAAGATACCAAGAACAGCTCTTTTGCATTTTCTTTAAACAAATTTAGGATGTCTTATATATGGGAATATAATTTCTTAAAAATATGACAATACTGGGTAATCTGGAGGTTGTGCGTATTTTTTTTACCCCACACTTTTGGAGATCTTGGAAAACACTCTGGGGTACAGCCACTGTAATTTGGTGGTGAAATGGCCATTTTTAACTTTTAAGACCAGAAAAGTAGGCTAGGAAGGGAGCACAGGGCTTTTGGGAAGTGAACCACTCCCATTTCTACCCTGTTCTACAAACTCTCCAAATTATCCAAAAAGCAGCCCTTCACTTTTCGGCTCCTGTAAGGCCAATCAGGCACAAGAGTCATGGCTATTAGTCCAAAAATAAGTATTGATGATCTCTGGATTAGAAGAATATCTTAACTACCATCACCACTTCCCAGGTTCAAGCATTACATAGAGGTACTGATATTGGTGCAATGATACGGGCATTACTTTGGACCATTTCAGATTAATAACATATTTAGTTTTGAGTACGATAACTAAGAAAACCAGAAAAATATTTATGTATCTTTTCACCCACCCAAATCCACTTGAACTCTGGAGTTTTCATCATCTTCCAAACCTCTTTAGAACACTGCTAGTTCCTCCACTGAAGCTTTAGACATTTCTACATTTCCCACAAGCAATTCCAAGGATATCTTAAATTTGCACAAGGTGCTGCATTGTTTGTTATGATGTTTTGAGAAGTCCCTGAGGGTTCTTAAGGTTAAAGAAAAATCTTCCTTGAATCAAGGTTGATATTCTGGTTGCTTGGAGATTTCAGTGTGGTTTGCTTGGCAGCCACAGAGAAGCATTTTTTTGCCATTGCCTTTTCTTAGATGATTGTTGTTCTGCTTCCTAATCTAGCCCACAGTCCAGGGTTTTCTGGTGGCCTTCCATCCAAGTGGTTAACTGTTGGGGATCAATCAAGATTGGCTAGATTTTTGCAACCGGCTGTGGCATATACCAAAGGAAGAGGGAATAAATGATTAAGAATCCCAACATTCTATTAGTTCTGACATCACTTTGGTTTCTGTTTCTAATGATTTTTCTTTAACGTCTGAGCACATCTGGACTAAATCTAAGGTATATTTCTTAACAAGACAGAATGCTTCAGTAAACTGAGTGAGTGTGCCCAAACAAGTGATAGTTTGCCATGATCACTTGCCTCTTATTCAGCAATTGCTTGAGGTGATAAGTGCCAAAAAATTGTTACAGCAGTTTCACTGTTCAAGTAATGGCTTCAATTAGCATGAGATAAACATAATTCCTACTAATTCTGACTATAAAAATCATGTTTCTTATTATCCTGTAACTCTTTGAACTAGTACGTGTAAATTATGTTTTAAGAGAAAAAGATACCAGTTCTGAAAACAGGCTGGACACCCCAGTGCTTACTGGATTTTGTTGAGCTATAAATCCCGTAAGCACTGATGTAATCCAAAACATCTGGAGGTAACAGTTGCTTACTCCAGTCTAACAACACATCTTTGTCATTCATGAAATGTGAATTTGGCTGCAGGCTTGTAACAAAGATAAAATGAAACGGGACTGGTTTGTTCAACTCTTTTGAACAAACCCAGCCTGGCAAATCATAATGTCCTTTTCTCAGATTTATCATGTGCATATCACCATTCCCCATCATTGGGCGGCTGAATCTCATTGCACAATGGAAGGAGAACGCTGTACAGTCTGACATGTATTTATTTTTTTAATAACCAGTTTATGACCTTTTTTTTCTTTCCTGATTTTCACAGCACAACTCAGAAAGCTAGTTTGCTCTCCACAATTTGACTATAAAATATCCATAGCCATCCAGGCAAATCTTCCCAGAGAGAGTTTCCAGACACTGCTCGTTTATAATGCATATGACGAAAGAGAGATGCAGAATACAAATGGAGCGAATGTAGCCAGAGTATAAAATATTCAGTAACTAATAGAGTAGGGTGATGTTGAATATCTCTCAGCTGAGTAGGCTGCGGGTGCAGGGAGAGCTCTCCGGAGGCCATTCACATTTCTTCTGATTTATTTGGCTGCTGGGCTTTCTGACTCTCTCATGTATGTGCATGCACACAAAAATGTACATCATTTTCTTTCTTTCTTCCTTCCTTCCTTCCTTCTTTCCTTCCTTCCTTCCTTCCTTCCTTCCTTTCTTTTTCTTTCTTTCTTTTTTCCTTCTTTCTTTCCTTCCTTCCTTCCTTTCTTTCTTTTCTTCCTTTCTTTCTCTTTACCATGTTTGTTTTGTCTTGTCTGAATTATAGTACGCTTCCTCTTGATTTGTATTTCACAGAGGACTTGAAATGTCCCAAAAACCAAAGAGGGGCCCCTCTCAGCCTCTTAGAACCCATACTGTGCCTTTGTAACTAATAACTTATTGAACCCAAAGAAAATTGATCATAAACCTGAGTAAACCAACCTCAGAAGGGCATTTTAATTGCTGCCATTCCATATGACTTTCATGGCAATAATTCTGTATGCTGAAATGGCACCATCTGAAGAACGATCAGTCCCTACTGCCCCTCTGGTTTGGGGCACAATTCAAAGGTTTGGTTTTCTCTTTTTGAGCCTGAAAAGGGTTAGAACAATGGTGCCAGAACTGGCCTAGTCATTAAGCAGAAGTGGTGGCTGCTGAGGTGGAGCAATGGGTTAGTATTGGAAAAGACTGGTGAGCACAGAGCCCTCTACAATTGCTTCCTACTCTCAAGAGTGTGGACAATAGAGTAATATTCCATTGCATCCGCTCCAACATGATCACAGGAGAAGGAGTTCTCTGTTTTTCTTCATGGTAAACAGTGGACAATCTTGGGTTGGTCCTGACACACCCTGATGGTTTCTTAAGATAAATTATTTGTGGTGCTGATTAGGAAAGGGATATTTCTGCCATGGCAATTCAGCTCTGAAAAGCGTTCACCAGCACAGAGTTCATAACATTTCAAGCAGGCTAAAATTGATCCATATGCTCATGATTCTAATGTTTATTGACGGGTATGCATCTTATAGGGGCATTTTACTGTTTACTGTAGCTTTATTGCTTTTGTTCTATTGGCTATTGATTGCCCTTAATGTTTTCTTTATTTTTGTTTTAGCTAGTGGAGGTTCCCATTGTCTTCAAACAATTGAGGTTGAGATAGAAATGTTTTAATCAATTA